GGGGGGCAAGAGTATGAGGAAGAGGCACGTATAGTCGCTCATTAAGTCAGAGCGGCAGCAGAAGCTCAAACCAACTCGGTCGGTACTGCGAGTGAGGCGAGGAGCGTTAGAGCCGTGTGAAAGGGAGGGAGAAAGAGAGAGAGAGAGAAGCAGTGTCGCGCAACATGAAATATAAAAGATTTCACCGGCGGCCAACCAGCGGAGCGCGCATTCGGGCGGTACATGCAGTGCGGCCGGCTAAATGACCATAAGTGCGGCGGCACTAAATATTTATGATCGTAGGCCACAGCCTCGGCCACAGGCCCGGCGGCACCGATAGGCTAGGTCCGACCGACCAGGAGCAGCCAGGAGACTCGGGTCCAAGCGGAATACCAAATGAGGACGAGTCGTGCGAGGAGGCGCGCACCTGCGCTGCGCTGCGCTGCGCTCCGGGCCCTGCAGCCATCTGCCTGCCCCGCCGGGGTCCCCTTCGCGCAACTCGTTAATTAGGGTAATGGACATTATATTACAATGTCTATGCATGAGTTGAGCGAATCGAGACGAGTCCGGCAAAGCAGGCAGGTGCGCGATAAGAAGGGCCGTACGCGAAAAAAACAAACAAACAAAAAGAACACACACCACATCACACACTCACACACGAGCAAGCGGCTCGGCCGTGCGTGGCACTCACACACTCACAAATCGCATTGCCGATTCCACTCGGCGCGTCGACACAGTGACGCTCTCGATCCAGACGGCGGCGGCGCCAACGCACCGACACATCACGCCGATCACGCCTCGTCTCATTCTCTCTCTTTCTCTCTCCCTCTCCCTCTCTCATCCAATTTCCGACACATTGCCGCGGCGGCTGCTCCTCCCCTTCCCCCGGCACGCCACCAGCACTATACACAAAAACACACACACAGGTCTCCTTGCTCAGTCACTTGTCGTGCCCACTCTTTGCTCCCTTCTTTTCCCAGGAGTGCCCGCCGCGCCCGCCGCGCCCGCCCCGCCCCCTCACTGCTCCTTGTTCTTCGTTTTCGTTGCTTGATTTGCATCCCCCGCCGGCACGGCTGCCTGCACGGCTGCCTGCACACGCCGCCGCCGCGGCCCCCGGTTGTAATCGGCGCCGTGAATCACCCACCCGCCGGCCGGCCGGCAGTGCGGGCCGCGTCCACCACCAGCCGCGTCCAGCCGCACCGCCGCCGACACGCAACGCTCCGCGCGACGGAAAGTGAAACCGCCTCACTCCCCCGTAATAGCTCCCCGCGCCGCCGACCAGCACCCCGACCGCCGGTCGTAAAGTAA